GCCAGAATTGTTATAATCTCGTCACGACAAAGTATATTCTAGATTGTCAATCAGTCGTACCGCGCATTGGTCTTCGTAATGAGCTAGTCGACTTGGAACGCACGTTTGTAACTCCAGAAAGAGAATTATTCCAGGAGTTATTCATCAGTGTCGGAAACTCAAAACCACGAATGATGCCAGCTGGATCTAATGAGGACATGCAGCGAGAGTTACATGAACAATTAAGGGTGATCGACTCAGCACCAGTGCCAGCATTCCCTTTCGAGCTCCCAGAAACCTCTCTGTTGGTTCAAGAGCTTTTGGAAGATCTGACGAGAAGCTGGACTGTACACCATAACCTGTCTCGACGCCAACTCCACGGTAACTTGACGAATAGACTGACTGAGGCTCTGAGCACGATCACCAATAGACGAAAGGATCTTCAAAAATGGCTTCTCGAATCACTCACGACGCAGCCATCAGATAAATCTCTTAGATTCAGTCTCTTGATATTGGTTAACCGTATGCCTCGCTTTAATGTAGTTGATGCATTGAAGATGGTATTAGATCCCAGCATAATCTCGAAACTGAATCCACTCCTGAGCCCTGCATCTGAAATTGTTATAAAGACGGGTGCTATTTGCTTCTTGGACGCATGTGTGTTAGAGGACAAGCTCACGAGGATGTATAGGTGGACGCTTGGAAATACTGTTCCTGATGGAAAGATTGTTGAAGAACTGGAATGTAAACGAGTTTGGAGCATCGACGAATATCCAAGTTGGCTTGTATTTGAGGTCGAAAACTGTCTTCAGATCAGGCCTGATCAAGCTACTCTGGCAAAGCAACTGATTGACACCAATTCAACTCTCGGATCTATTGCTCAAATGAACAGTGAGTGATGTTTGAAGGGTTTGTATCGTTATGGATTCGGGACTGACCGAATTTCATCCACAGTGGGTCTTGGAAAGACCAAGGTCGTCATTCCACTGCTGCTTCTTTACTGGAACTGGCGTAAAGATAGTGCCAAGTATTTGATTAGAACTTTCTTCCTCAGGTGCTGGTACAATTGTTGTTGAAGAAATGACTTATGTCCCTAAACATCTCTGTTTCTCGCTCTCCAGACCTCTACTATCAGAATCACTGGAGACATTCAATAACTGTCTCACGGCCAGTGTCTTTAATCTGAAGATATATCAACTCCCATTCCATCGTCAGATCAGCTTGACTGACAAGGACGTTGGCAATATCAAGACGGTCTTGAAACAATGCAGACTGCAAAAGTCGGCTATAATGATTGCTCCAGAGTTTTATTTGTCAATGAAACTCAAGTGCCTAGACCCGACTGCACTGTCAATCCAAACCACTCTACAGGATGTAGTGAATATGCTTGAAGGTCCCTCAGTAGTCAACATCTTTGATGAGAGCGATACGATGCTGAGGCATCAGTACCATCTGGTCTACTCTGTTGGCAAAAAAGTGAAGAGGGAAGAGTTTAATTTGCAGGAACGTCTAGATGTCATCGCTACGGTGTTTAGACTTCTGGGCAAGCTGGACTTGTCACAGGTGTTGGATCTAGTAGATAATACTCAGCACAGCTCTCCAGGAGAAATCCGAGAAGTGAGACTGCCAACGACTGCCACTCCCAATGATAGGATGTTATTAAAATCAATTCTCATTGACACCCTGATTGCCAAAGCTCGAGCTCCCCAAAAAAACATCCAACAAGCTCAGGAAGTACACGAGTTTTTATGGATAGAAGAGTATGCAGGGAATGCATTCATGATGGATCGAATTCGTGACGCCGTTATGAACGCAGACGCTGAAATAGACATGAATGTGCGACCACCAGAACCAGGCCTTCGAGACCGTGAATACTGGAAGGTCTTGATGTTACGAGCATTGTTTGCCCATGGTATATTAGAGTTAGTCTTGACTTTGAGATATAGAGTAGATTACGGTATTCGCCCTGATGATCCTGCTCACCCTCGATCAGGAGATGATGGTGGCTTCTTTGCCATACCGTTCAAGGGAGCAGACACCCCATCCGATCGAACAGAGTTTTCGCATCCGGATGTGCGCTTGGCTCTTACGACTTTATCGTATTATTATAAGGGATTGACGCAAATGCAAATGAAAGAAGCTATTACCGGGTTACTTTCGCTAGGACCTGCTGCTCGAGATTTCCATTATCGGAGGTGGTGCAACTCCATTCATGATTCTCCAGGCACTGGAAGAAGAATCGTATCGGTGGAAGATCTGAACAGTATTGATGAAGTCGGAAAGCTCAATTTGTCCAACGCTCTACAACACAACGTATTATACAAAGCTTTTGGAAAATGTGCTGAAACAATTAACTTCTGGTTGGATATGTTCGTCTATAAACCCTACGTCAATCAATATCCCGAAAAGATCCAATGCTCTGCTTGGGATTTGCCAGGACAGGATTCAATCAATATTGGATTTTCTGGTACAAATGATAACAAGGTGTTGATGCCATTGTCGTTAAGTCCAATTGACCAACAGGTATGCCAAACGAGCTCGACTATGAACAACTCTGACAGTTTTTTGCTTAACAGAGCAAAACTCTTTTTGCCACAAACGGCAAAATGTTGGCGACTTTACTAAGAGGGCCCGAGCTCCAAACAACTGTTACGCTGATACAAAGCGAAAATGAACCGCTGTCAACTAAATTGCTCAAACAAGCAGTAAGTGTAGACCGTGTCGACGCTCTCATCGATACAGGTGCTTTGCTAGCAGGTTGCACCAACAGAGCAGCTGCAGAGCTCGTCTGCGAGCTTCTGGAAGATTCAGCCAAGAAGGGTGTGGTATACTTTGATGTTGAATATGGAGATAATGGCGCCTGGATGATGCTAGATAGATCTACCAGACTCCATACTGTAAAATCACGATCACCCATTCAAGAACGGGAAGCGTTTGTCATTTTTGATGAAGCGCATACCAGAGGTGCTGATATGAAGCTACAAAAAGACGCTAGAGCTTATTTGACTCTAGGACCTAAAATGACCAAAGACAAACTTATGCAGGGTGCTGGAAGATTACGTATGCTAGATTACGGCCAAACTCTGATTCTTGTCTGTCCTCCTGAAGTAGTTCAAAGCATTGAATCGATGAAGGTCGAGTATGGTAGAAATATCCCAACTCTTTCTGTAGCCGATATTGTACTATGGACTCTTGTCAATACTGGCAATCAAATCTCGGAAGGTTTTTACCAATACTGTCGACATGGGCTACACTTCCAGTTGACGAAGATAGACGCAGATCAAGCCTTTTTAGTTGAGAAATGGAAGGTAGAAGACTTTCAAGATGTAGAAAGACGTTCCAATGTTAATATGTTGGTCCGCAACCTAATCAACGATTGGAGGGCGGAGATGCCGGATCAAAGTCTACAGATCGATAAAGCCATGAATCCCATCTTAACGAAATCCAACAAGTATGGTGCTGCTATTGAAGTCCTCGTATCTAATGGCCAAGAAGAATGCGAGAGAGAAACGAGCAAAGTAAGCTACGTATACCAATGTTACTCTGAATGACTTCATTTAAGCTCGGACTCTTTTGATTTACTCTTTTAATTTACTTAGGAAGTGCAGACACAACATGCAGTCACGGTCATTAAACATACGTGCAATCCAATCTTGGAGACACCTTGGGATTACACCGCCGTGCGAACCATTACCACCATTTCGGAACTTCATCGTCACTCTTGTTTTATCTCGACAGTTGGCCAGTTTTGGCGCCCGGTTGATGGGAAAGGAAATGAACGAGCTGTAATAAATTGGCCTGTCGATGACCTTAACACTCTTCAGCTCGTGAGGAATCGAATTACTCTGGAAACCGGTGACCAACTATTTGGAACTCTTAACTTCTTTAAGACTGTTGAGAGCCAAACTGCCAATACATCATCATATCAATTCTGGAGATTTGTAGATGGAGTACTCTTGTTTCCAGATGGAAAGGTAGTCATGCTCTCTGATCTTGAATCTGACGGGATTCTAAATGCATTGTGGAACTGTCCTGAAGCATCAGTGACATTCGTAAATCTATCTCGACTCAGACAGCAGGTATTTGAGAATCGTCGTCAGTGCCCACTCTTCGCTGGAAGGAAATTCAATGATCCTGAACTATACTACAATGCTTTAACCGGATTAATGCTTTTCAACGGGGACACGACATTCTCTAGTGACGGTATTGGACGTTACCTGATAGAGCAATGCTTGAAACCAATGGTTGCTGCAGCTAAACCGGAAGCCATTGAAGCGTTTATTGGAGGTCGTGGACTGTTGATGACATATGATACATCTGATTTGGAAACGGTCTTGAAGTATAATAGACCAGTTGTAGCCAGAGAACCAATTGAAGAGTGAAAGGTGAGTGTGGTAAAGGCTCTTTCTAGGTATGTTGTTGAAGTCAATCTAATACCAACTTTTGCTCAAATAGGCACAAGGAGTGTGATCTTCATACTATTATAAACTCCTCTGATTATCCCCAAAAGCAATCAAAAACATATACCCCCCCCCCCCCCCCCCCAATTTGTGTTAACCTTCCAAAGCTTCCAATGAGTATCCAGTCTGAGCCATTCGGATTAATCATTGTCGGTAGTATTCTTTGAACTCGAAATATCAGCTTTGTTTTAAGTAACTCCTGTTGGCACTTGTCTTCCTTTGGTTCAACTTACATGTCTCGTCCCGTTTCGTCATCTAAAGAAGTGGCTATGAAACAATTCACAGATCCGAATTGATATCCTGGAATTGAAACCCTGCTTCCCCTTGAAACAGACGTTCACACAAAACCATCCCTAGTCGCTACATAACCTACACCATCTCACAACATCCAAGACACTCCTGCAAATCCAACAAGCATCAAATTCTTTGGAAATTTGTTATATTTGACTTGTTTGAAATTTGGATAAATGGATTTTGCTTACTAAACAGACTGACTGAACTGACTACTGCAAACACTATATACAAGAGACCCACAATTACTGCTTGTAACAAGTAGCCCTTTTACGATACTGGAAGCCCTTCAGCGACTACAGCTTCACCACGGATGCCCCACTACAGAAAAGTGATTGAGTGAGTTCACATGAGTTCACACAAGTATTCTTGGCTTTTTTGGGCTCAACAGCACCCAGTACAGTCAAAACACAAAACCACCACATACCGATTCAAGCACATCCAAATATCTCGCCACCATCGTATTCCTCACATGCTTCACAATCCACCTGGACTTCATAATCGTAGCCGAAATCCGTCCCTCACTCGGGAAAATATCAAAATGACACCAAACAGCCCCCTGCGAAGACGGAAACGTGCTCATCGACACATCTCTAATATGCTGATCCCTCGGATGCGATCCCCCATCATGTGTCCGGACATTAACAAACACATGCGACCTGAACTTGTTAATATTGCGGTCGACAACAAAGTAAGTTTTGCGGTCCAGGAAGGACGTCATTGCTTCGTCGAGGGACATGTCGTGGAGTGGGAGGTTCATTACATCGTATGTTTCGGCGAGGCCGTTGCCCGTGTAGCCTGGTTTGACAATTCCGATTACAGAGCAGAAGCCGACGTCTTCTGAGTGTGGGGAGGAGGAGCCTGGGCGGAGGACGTAGAGGAGGGCTGCGACGAAGGCTCCAAAATGGCGTTCGGGATGGGCGACGCGGGCGTCGAGGGTAAAGTAGTTTACGGTAACTTGAGGAGGGACGAGGCCGGACAGACGGAATATGCGGACGTCTTGTGGGAGGAGTGGCAGACGGCGCATGGCTTCCTCGTTCATCAGTCGGTGGGTTAATATGCGGTGTGTTGGGATATCCTAGGCGAAGAGGGTTTGATCGTAAGTGATTGTTCTTGATTATCCATCAATAAAATGTTTTTTTACCTTTCGATCCAAATCCTCATAAAACATTCCCAAATGATCCTTATACAATCGATGACTCTCCAACTCAAACACCATATGATTCATTCCCAGATACGCAAAGCTGAGTGTCGGACATACGACTACCACCAACATGGTGTTGAGTCGTGACAAGTCGTGTTTCAAGACTTGTTGCAGCTTTGTGTGATCAAACATGAGCTTTTCAGGCACAACGATGATTTTATGGCCCTTTTCTTGGATTATGGCTCGGTTGGACATGGTGCCGAATGTTCGGGCGATTATTTGGGGGAGGCCGAGTCCTTTGTAGATTACACGGCTTCGGAGAGCTGGGTGCTGGATGGTAGTAAAGAGAATGTCAGCTGGATGCCAGAAAAATAGAAACGAGAAAGTGCATCATTCACCCTTTGGCAAAGTAGTTCACAAGCTCTATCCAGTCGGTCAATATCAATGGGCTTGCTCTTATTTGGTTGGAATCGATAGATGAACTAGAATTGAAGAGTGCGTGTGTGAGATCAGTTCCGAAGAAACTGCTAAAGATTCTGTCATACCTGAATGTTAAACTCATACGTTATTCGACGTCTATAATGATTCAACACAATCCCAGCAAACGGAACCGGGAATTCCTCCTCCAGATACGAACCAACACATCGTAACGCCGTCTTTGGTACTTCGTATACCGATCCCGTAGAGAATTCACTTGATTCATCCAGTGCATTCGAAGTACTAATAGCTTTTGCAATAGTACTCGGCTTTGTTCCCGGCTGAAGCAGCAGCACAGCATCAATGCGGTATTGGTGCTTGTTGCGCAAGTGGAAGATGAGTCTCATGACACTCATAGAGTTGAATCCGGCTTCGAGCAGGTCAAAGTCTTTGCCGCTCAAATGGGGAGAGCCAGATAAAGAGGCACAGAATTTAGATATATCCTGTGCTATTGTATCGTTCTCGTCTAATGCGGTGCCGACTTGCATTGAATCGGCGATGAGTTTATCAGCAATTAGCTGGAGCTTGGCGAGATGGCGTTTATAGGATACGGTCATTGGGAAGGTGTCCAACTGTTTACTAGCGTTGAGATATGCGTTATTGACTCCTGCATGCTGGATCACTTGTCGAGCATGTATCAATACGGGATCCAAGTGTTCGGCGTCTAATAAAGGTGTAGCTCCTAGAGTCGTTACATCTGATGACGTGCTCATCGAATCACGTCTACTGCGAGTCTCTGTATACAAAAGCACGAGCATATTCGAAGTCGATGACTTCATAACTGCAACGTCCGATACCAAGTGACTTAGTTCAGCCTTTAAGAGTTCATCCAAGTACTCCAAGTCGACATACAATCCGTTGAGCTTGATACGACGGTTACTACGACCCTTTGGAATCAATTTCCCACCATTTCTGTATTCTACCCAGTCGTGAAGAACTAGCATGTCTCTACCGTCCCTAGCTTTCCTAAAGGAGTCTGACGAATTAACGCCATAGTATCCACTAGCCATCAAACCAGGTGATACGACCGCCAAGATAGCTCTGGTACCATGTACCTTTGGCATCTCATTACCATCCTCATCTAGCAATACGATATCCTCTACTTGGCCCTTTACAGGTGTATACTCAATAACCGTATCGGCAGTGATAGTATCCAATGGCGAGAATTCCGTAACAAAGGAAACCCACATGAGTTCAGTCTGCGACCATTTAGCACGTATTACAGCTTTAGGAAACAGGCTCTTGGCTGTCATGAGAGATACCGGAGTCACCATTTCACCAGCGAGAGTGACGATGTCTACTTCTTCCCAGACGCGAGCGCCGTTTATCGAGTCTCGTACCAATGTCAGGATGCTTGGCGTGATGTGTACGTTGCGAACACCAGCGTCTAGTGATTTTATATATCCTTCGGCGGGGGTGACTTCCATGGCGGAGTCGGGTGGTGGTAGTAAGAGCGTTGATCGTACGTAAGGGGCGTTGGATACGGTAGATGTAGCATACAAGAATGTGGGTGCGGAAGCAAGGTCTCGCAGTGCGTATTGCTTGAGTGCAAATGCTGGTATGGACAATGGCGCTCCTTTTGCGATTGTTTCCATTGTGATTAGAGTTGATTTTGGAACTCCTAATGCATAATTGTTTTGAGTCAGTCACTCCGACAAATACAGGGTTCCGAATACTAGTGCAAGTCGTTACCTGTGGTTCCAGAGGTATGAGTGATCCAGGCATACAGGGGAATGTCTTTAATAGACTCGGAATACATCTGAATTGAAACATGTCAGTATTTGTTGACTCAAAAGTTGTATCGACGCACAAATTACCAACCTCGTTAGAGACTTGAGAAATATCAATGGAACGGACTCCAGACATATCCACCGGATGTCCCAGCTGCGAATATAGCATCACATGGATATTTAAACGTTCAGCGAGCGCTGCTCGAGTCTCGGCAGTCCAGTCCTTGTTAAAGACACAAGCTGTACCTCCGACCAGCCAAATAGCATATACACCCAACACAAAGTCGATCTCAGCTGTTACATGCAGCCCGTATACTTTCATGGCATTTTGTCGTCTTGTAGCGACATTGTTGTTACCAGCATCATGAGCACTAGCAGTGCTGATTGTGTATGCAATGCGGCGGATAGAGTGCCAAGCTTCAGAGTACGATATAGAGGTATTTCCAGACTTTAAGAAGATCAATTCCGGTTCTTCCTGGGCGACTTGGACCAGCACTTCCAGAGGGGTTGGCTGCATGTTTCTTAAGAGTGCAACCAGACCTGTTTTATGGTGTTGGGAAGTAAGCGGTCGCTTGATGTTGAAGAGTAAAATGATTACTTACAATATAGTAACAGCGACTGGGAGCTTTAGGTTGGCACTGTTTCTTGTCTGATCTCGTCCGGTTGTTGTTTGTGGTTTCTGATAGAAAATGACCAAAATAGAAGTTGGCGGAAAGTAAGGAAAGATTGGAAAGCAAGATACCGCAAAGGGTTTCAGGAACCCACCGTGAATATTTCAATCGATGCTGCACCATCGGACCTCCAATTTTTTCAATGCACTGCTGCCTTTACATTTCGTAATCGGTCTAAATTTGTTTAGTTGTTGGGAGCTGTCGCAATCACGTGAATTTCTGGCACAATAACTCGTTGATACATGAAGATACAAATTATTTCAGGGTGGATTCCATCGAAATACTTGTGCCTCTGACTGCGATGGACGCCCGTAACAAGATGTTGTCAAACTGTAACTGGTTGCTCCCTTCCCGACATTCCCAGAGTGTAAGAGAAGCTTCCAACCAGCTCGTTACAAGCTCATTCAGCGTGTCAGCATTTAAAATGACAGGTATAACCACATGCGTCATGCCACAATTCTGTTTTGATGAGTAAATCATGTGTCAATGTTTCCAATAAGGACGCGTCGATCTGCATCTCCAGCTTGAATTGATACGAAATTGACTTGTATCGGCGGTCTAAGGGCTCAAATGCAGTTTGTCCACTACCTCAAAAAATCTTTGTTCGTCCACTGCCATACCGTTTAAAACACTCGCCAGAAAAAAACAAAAAGGAGCAGAACAAGATCAGTAGAAGCAGTAAGTCCAAATATTTCTTCCCTTGTCAAGCATGAATCTACTCGAGAACTATCCCTCATCTAACTTTCATCTCGTCTCAAAGGGAAACGTCAAAAACATAATTGATTTGACAGGAGAAACAAGATGCTCGCCAACACGTCCAGCGCCCCGCAAACTACAACCGTAGACAAAAAAGCATCATTGAAAGCCCGTCTCAGAAGCGAGCTGGATGAGTCTCTTGTAAAACTCGCTCAAAAGTCCACCCAGTTGGAAGAAAAGACATCACAGCATGAAATACTCACGAAAATAAACTCGGCCCTCCATACCGAGATAAAAAGCATCAGATCACAGTTAAAGGATCAGATGGATGCCTCAAAGGGAATAGAGGACTCGTTTTGGGCGTTGGCTCGTATTGTTGTAGGGGATGCTGAAATCGCTTCAAAGGATGTTGATCATGTTATGCAAGTCGCTCAACAACGCATGGATGTCGATCTGCAATCACCACAACCGATGCAGACGCCTAGTGACGATGAGCATTTGGCTGCTCTGTCGCGGATCTTGTATGGGGATTTGAAGCTTACGACTAGCAAAGTAAGTGTATTTGGCTGCTTCCAGCAAGCATACAGTCGTCTTGTCGACGCGCTTCTTATTGGCTCACGGATCGTTTGCTTCACACTCGCAGGGCGCATGGAAGGCCGTCTGTGCCGACATAACCACCCTCAAGAACGAAGCCAACGCACAAACCTCCCTCGTAGCCCAATACGAAGCCCAGATCCAAACCCTCCTATCTCAGCACCGCTCATACGAAACATTGCTCGGCCAAGTCGCTCAGGAAGCTGCATCACGAACATCCCAGCTTGATTTCGAAAAAAACCAAATCATGCGAGAGGCTATTGAACGTACGTCTGCATCTGACAATGAACGATTACGGGTTGAGAATATTGCTAGTGAGCTTATGATGAAGGGGAATGAGGAAGTCGCTCGGCTGGTTAGAGAGCTGGAGGCGTTGCAGGCTATGGATAGAGATAATGTTGCGGTCAAGACAGAGTTGGAGAATCGGTTGTCGGTTATGCGAGAGGTGGTGAATAAGCAGGCCGCACCACACTTCTTGGGAAGTGCTACTTTAGGTCGTTTAGTGTACGGAGGTATGTGATATTACAGTGGCTTTTTTGCTGGATACCATTGTAACAAACACAATATTTCGCTAGACTTGCACAAAAGCTTTGCAACTCACTGGAAGCCCGACAGTGAAGCCAAATCATGCTCACAATGCTCTCGTGCATTCGGCACCTTAACTCGAAGACACCATTGCAGGAGCTGTGGGGATGTGTTCTGTGCATCTCATGTTGCCAAACAGCTTAATCTCACTCTAGGAGATCTGACTATTTCAAGCACACTTGGGGTTTCTGGTAAAGTGTGTGATGCGTGCTTTAATCGGCTTCAAGTAAGTCATTCTTCTGCTGTGGTCCCTTGTTTTTGTCCTATTTTCTGATTGTCTCTTCATGCTCAGGGCAATACGATTCTTGACCTGGAATCTTTGCATCAGGGTGATGTTGTAGCTATGGAATTGTAAGACAAGGACTTTTCAAAAATATCTGTAAAGAAACAACAAATAATGTATCATCTAAAAACGATTCATATGTAACAGATTTGTATGACAATAACAGACAACAACAAGGACAAATACAATGGCTTTGACGTAAAATCTCTGTTAGTTGAATGTGTGTACTTTAAAGAGAATTCCAAGACTGAGATGATATGACTTCTACAACCGAGGTCGTTGTTTCCGGCCAACTTGCTCAACTGTAATGATTTCTTGCTGCTTTCAACTTTGACGTCGATTCCGTTCAGGTAGCCCGAACGAGCAGGTCGTTCAAACAGGACGTTCAGCAATGATTGCAAAAAATGCCATAGCTCAAACCAGTATTGATGGAGTGTCGGAACGCGAGCCAGACTCATCATCGTATCAAACAAGTCCAAATCTCTCAACGGGGTTGATGAATGTTTCACGACGGTACCATTCTTGGCTGCCTACTTGACCGCTGTATGCATCTAGATCAGACTACTGAGAGGGTCAATTTGAGAACACCTGGTACATCTTGCACGCCATCCCGGCATATAATTTTTGGTTGGAACTCACTGTCGGCTCTGCAATCACGATAGCATGCAATGACAATTCCACAACGGTAACAAGACTGTGCGTTTCACCACTTGATATGTCCTCCAATGATTGTTTCTCCAGCACGGAACTCATGATATGAGACAGCGACTGTCAACACGTTGCTGCTCCATATGTCTGAAAGAGAGTGCAGTGAGCTTACTGACGGTGCAACAAAAGCCTGTAAACCTTGCCAATACATCTCGAAAAGTCAATTTCTCCAACAACGCTTCCTATTCGACATGACCAACGTAATTCCTCCCGGTAGATTCTGATGCGAGGTGATTCAAACGAATTCTTTTTGCTTTTTGTCCAACTCTTACGACCACTGCATCAATGTTCAATTTGGAGCGAGAAAAAAGTTTAAGAGAGATGAAAAAGCTGTAGTTTGAGTAAGCAATGACGAGACGTTCGATACTACGCACGTCCAGCTCCAGAATCTCCATAATAGCCAGCATTTCACCACCCCGACGTTTCTATTCACCATCCTTGAAAATGGGCTAGAGATCTTTGGACTTGACTGAAATTGTTTAGTTCAAGATACGTCATAGTACAACACTTTCTTTTCCGAATCAGCAGTCCGACAGGATGCCTCTGCGATCGACAAGCAACTATTTTCAGGAAATGGTCCAAACACAAAAACAATAATACCCGACTCTCACCTGCTCTATGCTCTCAAAACAAATGTGATTTGACCTTTGTCACGTTCACAGGCGCCAACGAGTTCAATGAAAGCAAGAGGACGAGCTTCAATTCACGTTCTACCTTCAGTTTCAAGGCAGGTTCTAGGCTCGTGGGCATGTCTACGATTCTGTCACAGTTCAAATCCCCGCAGAGCAACAGACGATCACCAAGGAGAATGAGACAAGGAGGAGGATCATTTGTATAACTTGGAGAGGATTACAATTCATTACTATTTACAAAGTATCAGTTCAAGAGAATTCACCTAATAAACAAGAAATACAAAGTAGGCCCTCTGTGTTTGGAGTGTAATGTGTACACCAGGCTTGGGACTGGCTATGGCCACATTACCTACGTTGAAGTTAGTCCAAAGTGAGTAGTTCAAAAAGCCAAAACAATTGAAACCTGGTTTTACGATTGTTTGCGCCACCAAACAACCAACCAAATTGTATTTGGGGTGCAAGCGCTATGTTCCCTGGCAAGGTGCTCAACTGCAGATCACTATCATCACAGAT